TGTCACCTCCTGGGGACGTGGTGACAAGTCCCACCGGGGTGGTGGCATCTCCATAGACCTCATTGACGTGTCCCAAAGTGTCCTTGGGGTCACCGGTGACACTGGGCTGGTTGGTCCCCTCCACGATGACGTCACGGCCGGTGGCCACCAGCACCTTGTCACCTCCTGGTGTTGGGGTGACAAGTCCCACCGGGGTGGTGGCACCTTCATAGACCTCATTGATGTGTCCCAAAGTGTCCCCAGAGCAGTTGGTGGCACCGGGCCGGTCCCTCCCCTCCAGGACAACGTCCCCACCGTGGGCCACGATTGGCTTGTCACCTCCTGGGGTTGTGGTGACAAGTCCCACCAGGGTGGTGGCACCTTCATGGACCTCGGTGACACGTCCCTCGGGGTCACTGGGGTCACTGGTGGCACCAGGCTGGTCCGTCCCCTCCACGATGACGTCACTGCCAGTGGCCACCACGACTGTGTCACTTCCTGGGGACGTGGTGACAAGTCCAACCGGGGTGGTGGCACCTTCAGGGACCTCGTTGAGGTGTCCCTCGGTGTCCTTGGGGTCACCGGTGACACTGGGCTGGTCTGTCCCCTCCTCTGTCACATCCCCAGGGGCGGCCACCAAGAGCTTGTCACCTGTTGAGGACACTGTGACAGGGGCCACCGGGGTGGTGGCATCTCCATAGACCTCATTGACGTGTCCCAAAGTGTCCCTGGGGTCGTTGGTGACACCCGGTTCTGGTGTCCCCTCCTCAATGATGTCACTGCCGGTGGCCACCAGCACCTTGTCACCTCCTGGGGATGTGGTGACAAGTCCCACGGGGGTGGTGGCACCTTCATGGACCTCGTTGATGTGTCCCAAAGTGTCCCTGGGGTCACTGGTGACACCTGGTTCTTCTATCCTCTCCACAGTGACGTCCCCATGGGTGACCACCACGAGGTTGTCCCCTCCCTGGGGTGGGGTGACAAGTCCCACCGGGGTGGTGGCACCTTCATGGACCTCGTTGAGGTGTCCCTTGGGGTCACTGGGGTCACTGGTGACACCGGGCTGGTTGGTCCCCTCCATAACCACGTCCCCACCATGGGCCACCAGCACCTTGTCACCTCCTGGGGACGTGGTGACAGGTCCCACTGGGGTGGTGGCACCTTCATGGACCTCGTTGAGGTGTCCCCAAGTGTCCCCAGAGTCGTTGGTCACACTGGGCTTGTCTGTCCCCTCCTCGATGACGTCACTGTCAGTGGCCACCATCATCTTGTCACTTCCTGGGGATGTGGTGACAAGTCCCACCTCGGTGGTGGCATCTTCATGGACCTCGTTGAGGTGTCCCCAAGTGTCCCCGGGGTCGTTGGTCACACCCGGTTCTTCTGTCCCCTCCACAATGATGTCCCCATGGGTGACCACCACGAGGTTGTCCCCTCCCTGGGGTGGGGTGACAGCGGCCACCGGGGTGGTGGCACCTTCATGGACCTCAGTGACGTGTCCCAAAGTGTCCCCAGAGCAGTTGGTGGCACCGGGCTGGTCCCTCCCCTCCAGGACAACGTCCCCACCGTGGGCCACCAGCACCTTGTCACCTCCTGGGGACGTGGTGACAAGTCCCA